TTCCCAAATGAACCTCTTGGCAATAGTCTAGAATCCTAGATCAGGGGTCAGCAGGCAGGCCAAGTCCAGCCAGCAGCCTGTTTGTATATGGCTCATAAGTTAAGAATGGGTTCACAATTTTAAAGGGTTGGAAGTAAAACAGGGGTCATTTGTGGTTCACAGACCCAACCTGATCTTTTACATGAAATGTGGCCAGTCCCTGCTCTAGATCACTTTGACGTATACAGTTTTCCTGTCCACAGACAGGAAATCCACTGCCATAGGTCTTATTCTCAGAAGCCTAGAAAACCAGGGCCTTTGCCCTCTGGGGCTACGGCCTGCTGGGGTCCCCGAAGCAGGCCCCTCGTTCCCTCAGGTTCTTCCTTATCCTGTGTTATGATTAGGGTAGTGATTCGTCTCCTGGCTATACAAAAACAGAAACCTTGTCCCTCCTGCTCCTTTGTAGGTGGTGGCCTCTCTCTAAGACAGCCAAAGTGACAGCTCGTTCCAGTGCCAAATGGCACACTCCGCCTCATGCTCCTTTACGGACACCTTCCGGACAGGGAGAGGAAGTGAGAACTTCCTCTGTAGCTAAGGCAGAAGCATGGTCCTCACCCGCGATTGCTTGGGCCTGGTGGAGGGTGGCAGCAGGGATTCCAAAGATGCCCATAGGAATACATGGGCCTCTCTCCCCCGCCCAGGACAGCAGCTGAGTGAGAAATAGCCATTGCCTGCACACTACCCCATCCCAGGGCCCTTGGCTGCACTGAGCTGGCTGCCCCCAGCTCTCTTTGACCTTTGTGCTCAGTGAGGGGCTAGCACAGAGATCTCTCATAGCCTCTCAACAGACTAATGCCATGTCAGTCCCCTCTCAACCTGACCAGGACCTTCCATTTCTGCCCAGCATGCATCCACTTACCCAGCTTCCGAAGCAGGGTAGAAAGGGTGTGAATGGGCTGGGAAGAGAGCAGAGGAGGAATGGAGGGCTGACTGATAATAGTTGTCCTGCAGGGCTCTGACTGCCATGCTGAAGAATAATGAATTGTGGGAAATGGGATCTGGCCTTGAGGGATGGAAGAGTCAGAAGCAGAATCCAAGTGAGACCTAGGGCAGGTGCTCTATGGGTAGAGAAATAGGACTAATCAGGAGACAGAATCAGTAGGACCTGGAGACGGCTGGATATGGTAGCAGTAGTAGGATCAAGACTTGTGACAAGCAGGCTTGTAATGGGCACATAAGGTGAGAGCCTCTGGAGCTGGCTGGTGCTGGGTCTCGCCTCAAACATGAGCCAGGGTTGAAGAGGCTGCTTAGGGAATTGGGAGACTGCTCTGTGAGATCCTGTTAGGGAAGTAGGCAATAGGATCTTCTTCCCCAAGGGGTACCAGACACTTCTAGGAGGGATGCTGAGGGATGACTGGAAAAGGTGACCCCAGAACTTTTACCCATGTAGAAGTCTTGTGATTCTCCAGGTATCCCCTGCCTTTCCTGGCCAACCGTCAGCTTGGAGCCCCATATGGCTCCCCACAGGAGGAGGGGACACAAAGCCTTCAAACCATCAGCAGGAATGCAAACCCAGGGCAGCTTCTTTCTAGAAATGTCAAGTTCCACATTCAGAAGCAGAAGCCTCCTGCCCAGCCTCAGCCTGGCCAGGAAGTACTGCTGGTTTGGGGCTGAGAAGATGAGTCAGGGGGCAAGATTGAAGTAAATGAAGCAGGCTGCTCCCCCTTGCTTATTCCAGTAAAGTGGTCTGAGCAGCAGAGGGGCTGGTGAGTGTGGAAGAGCTAGCTTGGGATAAGGTTGTTACCTCTGACTGTTAAGGAGACTTAACCTAGGATGGGGGCTCTGGGAACACCTCTTTACCTGTGGTCCTCTTACCTGCTGCCTCACCACCTCAAGTAGAGTTAGAGATCTCAGTGTCACATCCTTTAGCTCAGGTAGATATAGTTAAGTCCTTACTTGGTACTTAGTTAATCTTTTCTTGTACTGGGGATTGAGCCCAAGGTGCACTCTACCACTAAACTACATCCCCAGTTCTATTTTGAGGTCTCCCTAAGTTGCAGAGACTGGCCTCAAACTTGTGATCCTCCTGCCTCAGCTTACCAAGTTGCTGGGATTATAGATGTATACCACAGTACCTGGCCTTATTTACTTTCTTTGCACATAATTCAATTTACATTAGCTGATTTCTTGGCAAATTTTAGAAGGAGTGTAGAAAATTGTGTGAGACCAGCCTGTGAAACAGAGGGGTGGGAGAAGACCCTGAGACCTTTGGATTGCAGAAATGAAAAGCCTTCAGGCAGGGACAAACATCTCTCCTTGTGCCTGAGAGAGACCCAAGGACACCACTGTGCTTGAACCCAGCTGGTAGGTCTGGTTATTCAGTGAGAGTGACAGAAGGAAGAAAGACTTCCAATCTGATGGTGGGTCAGGAAAGTTTGGGTCCACGGAGGGGCGAGCGTCATTTATCTGTATAGTTCCCTTATCTAGAACAGCTTGTTCTCTGCAAATTCTGATATTAAATGGAGCATTACTGTTCCCAGCTAGTCCCTTGAAAAACACAAGCACTTTGTGTTTTGTTAAAATCTGTCTTGTCTCTGCCCCCCAGCAGAATCAAGGGCTTCTAGGATAAGAACCTAAGACCCTCTATTCATTGATTCCTGTATTCACCTATAGGTATCCCTGACATTGGCTCTTGGTCCCTGTACTCAGGGAAGACAAAGTCCTGGGAGTCAAGGAAATCTTGGAGTTGAATCTCAAAGGCAGGAGTAACGCATCCAAAGGCAGGGAAGGGCGGAGAAATCATACAAAGAGCGAAGGTGTGGCCTGTGCTTTGAGAGTAGAGGAAAGGGCAGAGGACAGTAGGCAGGGAGGCTGGATTGATCCCTAGCAGGAGACTTGATTCCAAAATGTGGCATAAAGGCTTAGTTAGGCTTTGTGGGAGGTCTGCACCGCTTGGGGCCAGTACCAGTGTGTGGTAGGTTGACTTTAGGGGTGATAGTGCCAGGCTTTGTGAGAGGACTGTAAGTGCATTTCACTATTTCCCTATAGTACTGTGAAGTGGTATAGTCATGTACCACATAATGATGTTTTGGTCAGTGATAGGCTACATATACAATGGTGGTCCCATAAGATTATAATGGGACTGAAGAATTGGTGGTGGTACTATAAACAACCTGTCAAGTAGTAAAAAAGCACAGCACGTACAATTAAGTATAGTATGTAATACTGTGTTATGATGATGATAGTAAATGACTATGTTACTGGTTTATGTGTTTATTCTATTTTCTATTGTTATTTTAGAGAGTACTCCCTCTACTTATTAAAAAAATGTTTGCTGTAAGACCGACTGCTGTGTGACGCTGGCAGCAACCTCCTGCATCACATGTCCACCATGCCTCTGTTGTAGCAAGAGGCCACATCTAGTGGTGGGCCTGCACCATCTATAAGCTTGCATTAAGTGCACTCTGTGATGTTTGCACAGCAATGAAGTTGTCTAATGACACAGTTCTCAGAGTGTATCCCTGTTGTTAAGTGATGTGTGATTGAATTGCTAACATCTGCAGTTTAGAGATGAGACAATTGGAACTCAGATGAAATAACTTGCCCACAGTCATATTGGAAATAAAGACTGGAGCTGAGATCTGAATTTGGTTGTGTTCCGATTCAGAGCCCATGTTCCTAATCATTGCACTGTCTGGCTTCCCTGGAACAGATAAGTAGATCCTTAGGACTGCCCTCCCCTCCCAGTTATGCCAACTCCCTGGAGCCTAGCCTCTACTGAATGTCTCTAGACTTGACAAGTCCTGGCATCAGTGCAGGGATGAAGATGGTTAGTGAGCATTCCAGGGCTCTCTCCATTTCCCCTTTGGCAAGAGTAGCTACCTACCACCTCCTCTTCCTCTATGGCTTGAGAGGAGTAGGGAGGACCACAAGCAGGGACGACAGAGAATGAAGGGTCTGCGGTACACAGCTGGGGAGGATGTCAGGCTAGGTTAACTTGAGATTGAATGTGAGCTACAAGCTGCAAGGGAAGGAGGGGCATGCAGGTTTGTGACAGGTTAAAGCTAGGAATCCTCAGATTAGATGAGCTTAAGTGTATATGTTATGGGCTGTGTGCACAGGAAGCTGTCTCTTATTAGTTGGGCCTGAGCCTGGCTACATGTGCGCTAGATGTGGGTCGGTGTTGCCTGAGAGCATGGTGAGCGTGCTCAGAACTAGGGCTGCCTGTGCCAGCCACATCTACTCTGCCAGGGGTGGGGATAGGGCTTGTGGGCAGGCCTGTACAAGGACAGGTGTCTCCAGTTCCTGGAACTGTTTCCCTGTCTGTATCCTTTCCCTAAACCTCCCAGCGGAGCACCTGGAGAGGGAAAGAGGCCATGGGTTCTTTAGGCTAGCACTCACAGACCAGCCCCAAAGGAGTTGGACTTGGAAGGCAGAATGTGACAGAGTCAGTTTTGTGAGCACATCTGAAGAGTGATATAAGTTGGTTATGCCAGGCCCTAAATGCAAATTCAGTGAGCCTGCACTTCCCACAGGGCCACCAGAATGGCAGAACCTGTCTGTCTAGCTGTGCTTCCTCCCTAGCAGGAGGTTGGGGAGAGGCCCTAGGGCAGGAGCTGGGGCCCTAGGGCACCAAGAGCAGAAGAGAAGAGACATGTGAGAAGAAGCATTTTCTCCCTGTGTGTCTCTGCTCTGTGCCTGAACTTGCTCCTCTATCATTTGCCACCATCCTCAGCAAGTCATGTTGAACATGTGAAACCACAGAGCACTGGGAACCACGCCTTAGAGGAAGGGTGAGAGCTGGCTCTCAGAGATGGAGTCCAGCCCATGTTTCTTGCCTAAGGAAACTGAGCCCCTCCCAAACCCCCAAAAGAAGGGACTTGGTTCAAGAACATGCAGTAAGTTTGCAACAAAACTAGGCCCTGGGCCTTTCAGCATTCTGTGGTAAAATGGAGTTCTCCGAGCTAGGGGAGTATGGGCCCTGGCCTCACCCACTCACCGAAGCTGCTTCTCTCCTGCAGGTGATCGAGGAGTTCTACAACCAGACATGGATCCACCGCTATGGGGAGCCCATCTTGCCCACCACACTTACCACACTCTGGTCCCTCTCGGTGGCCATCTTCTCTGTTGGAGGCATGATTGGCTCCTTCTCTGTGGGCCTCTTTGTTAACCGCTTTGGCCGGTGAGTAAGAGGGTCCTGGCCCTGCTTTTGGGGAGCCCATGTCTTCCTGTCCAGGGAGTCCTAGCAGGAAGGGGTGGGGGGAGACTTCTCTGCCTGTTCTAGGGTTTTACCTATGGCCCAGCCCTTGGGGTGTCAGGGAATCCAGGGACCCACCTGACCTGTGACCCCACCCCCAGGAGGAACTCGATGCTGATGATGAACCTTCTGGCCTTTGTGTCTGCTGTGCTCATGGGCTTCTCGAAACTGGGCAAGTCCTTTGAGATGCTTATCTTGGGCCGCTTCATCATCGGTGTGTATTGTGGCCTGACCACAGGCTTTGTGCCCATGTACGTGGGGGAGGTGTCACCCACAGCTCTTCGTGGGGCCCTGGGCACCCTGCACCAGCTGGGCATCGTTGTTGGCATCCTCATTGCTCAGGTAAGTCAGGGCCGGGTCTGCCTGCCTAGCACTGCCCCCATCCATGGCTTTAGTGGTCCTCAGGTCTGAGTCCAGCCAGGCTTCAACTAGACCTCCACCCAGCCTTCTAGAGCCCTGCAAAGGACAACCTCATGGTACACAGTTCCCAGAGAACACACTGCCACTTGCAAACCTCCCATGGGCCTTCCTAACCAAGGAGCATTCCCTCCGGCTTCTCATTCTTCTCACTCAGCCTCCAACCACAGGGGACCCCACTGTTTAACATGTGGGATCTCTCATGCCTCCAAGCTGGCAGGCCTTTGTGCATACTGTACCTCTCATCAAAAAGCTTCTCTGTCCATCCCCAGAGTCTGCCCATGAGAGAGTAGCACCCCCCATACTTTATGCCAGACACATTTGTAGCATTGTCATTTGTCCTCCCAGTAATGTGGTATTGGGTCCTACTTTCCCCACCTTACAAATGAGGAAATTAATGTTCAGTGGAGGTCAGGCCTCACATTAGTGGCAGAGCCTCCATAACTGGAGCTCTTTCCTTAAAGCAGTGGCTGATACCAAGCAGGGAAGGCCACTGTGGTGGGTTGGCATGGGAATAGGGGCCAGGACAGGGGCGCTCACAGCCCCGGCTTCCCCCAGGTGTTCGGCCTGGACTCCATCTTGGGCAACGAGGAACTGTGGCCCTTACTGCTGAGCATCATCTTCATCCCAGCCCTGATGCAGTGCATCCTGCTGCCCTTCTGCCCCGAGAGCCCCCGCTTCCTGCTCATCAACCGCAACGAGGAGAATCGGGCCAAGAGTGGTACGGGCCGGGCCCTGCCCTCCTCCCTGCCCCATGAGCCCTAGCCTTTGCCCCCATTCCGAGCCACCCCACCTTCTCTCGTCCCACTAGTGCTGAAGAAGCTGCGCGGAACAGCTGATGTGACCCGTGACCTGCAGGAGATGAAGGAGGAGAGTCGGCAAATGATGCGGGAGAAGAAGGTCACCATCCTGGAGTTGTTCCGCTCTCCCGCCTACCGCCAGCCCATCCTCATTGCCGTGGTGCTGCAGCTGTCCCAGCAGCTGTCGGGCATCAATGCTGTGAGTACCCCCACCCACCCCTTCCTGTGGCTCCAGCCAAGCCCCAGGCTCAAGTGTGTGCTATGAATTAAGTCAAACAAAATAATAAGCAAGCATCTGCCCAAGAAGCTTCCCTTTAGAGCCAAAAGCCTTAAAGTTACTGGTGCAGTGTCCTCTGAGCAGTAGTATTTGTCCCCTTCATTCCTTACTCACACTTTATCCTGCATCTACTGGTGCAGAGGCAAGGGAAGGGCCACAGCACCTAGCCAAAACCCAACAATCTCTCTGCCTGGCAGGTGTTCTACTACTCTACAAGCATCTTCGAGAAGGCAGGAGTGCAGCAGCCTGTGTATGCCACCATCGGCTCAGGCATTGTCAATACAGCCTTCACTGTCGTATCGGTGAGTCTTTGCTTGTTGTTGGTCTGCAGCCAGGGTACAGCTCAGAGCCTCAGGGGCCCATGATAGAACTGACAGCATTTGCTGGAAGCCAGGCATGTGTCATGTGCTCCCTAAGCGTTCTCTCATTTCATCCTCAACATCTTGTGAGGTTCATTACTGATAAGCTGACATGGATGCTCTCCAAAGGTCACAGCCAGGATGCTCAGCTGTCTGGTCGCTAGGGCCACCTTGTACTGCTATTGGGCTCTAGAGTTAGCTCTTTGCCCTCACCCTCTTATCTGGTCCCAAATAGAGCCCTAGGAAGGAGGAGGTGCTGTCTCCCCCAGCCCTCTCCCCACCCCCCGGTCTGTGCAGTGCCATGTGGCTTTCCCCACTATTGACTAAATTCTGGGTGGTGAGCTGTGAGAGACACCAGGCAAGGGTGACACTCACACTCTCTCTGCCCACAGCTGTTTGTGGTGGAGCGAGCTGGCCGGAGGACCCTGCACCTCATAGGCCTGGCTGGCATGGCAGGCTGTGCTGTGCTCATGACCATCGCCCTGGCCCTGCTGGTAAGTGGCCATGTTCTGGAGGGTAAAGTGGCTGGGGATATGGGAAATCCATCTGGGCTTAGATCCCAAAGTGCCTGTGTCAGCCCCAGCCTGACAGGCTACATGGGACTAAACTCTCCCTGGTTCTGCTCCCTGGGCCAGGGCCTGATCTTCTGGCTCTTGAGGTTGTCTCCTTTTATCCCACTCACATCGGGTCTTGAACTTTCTTCTCCTTGATTGAGTTTCTCAACACAGCACCTCTGGCCTCAGACCCCAAGCTCTCATCTCCCCAGAGAAATGCCTTGCCTGCCCTGAATTGAACCTTTCAAAGCTTTCACATGTAGACTCAATTCATCTTCACAAATACCCTAAAAATATTACCCTCCCCACCACAGAGATGTAGAAACATACCTGTCTCGCACAGTTCACACTACTCAGAGATGCAGTTCAGCCATTACAGGTTGAGTATCCCTTATCTGAAATGCCCATACCAGAAGTGTTCTGGATTTCAGATATTTTTGGATTTTTCAATATGTACATATACAGATTGAGCTGTCTTAGGGATGGTACCCAAATGGAAACATGAAATTCATTTTTCATATGCATCTTATAGTCAACTTTATACAATACTTTGAGTGTGCTTACATTTTGACTATGATTAGTCACTATATGAGGTCAGGTGTGGAATTTTCCATTTGTGATATCATGTCAGCAGTGCTCAAAAATATTGATTTGGAGCACTTTGAATTTCAGGTTTCAGATTAGGGATGCTCAACCTGTATTCCCACTTCATGGGTAAGGAAATCTAAGTCCCATGTCAGATCAATGATGAAGCTAGGCATCCACCTCAGGTGTGCAGGCCCCAAGCCTGAGACTAACCTCTGTGATTACCTATACCAGGCCCTCACATGCACAAACACTCATTTGTCAACCCCTGTGCATTACACTCGTACAGCTAAACTTGGGGAAATCCAATGATTGTTGAGGGGATGATGAACAACAGATCTAAGATCTGAACCAAAGTCTTTTAATTTTTCTATCATGACCTCCTAAAAAAGAATGATTATATGCAGCATTATAACATTTACAAACCAAGACCCAACACAGGGTACCCATGTCATATGGTGTATCCAGAATCAGCATCCCAGGTCTCCTGCCTTCCAGCCCAGAGCTGGGGCCCTTGGAGCTGATTTCCTCTAAGGAGTCATTACAACCCAGTCTAACCTCTCCACCACCACCCCCATTCCCCAACTTCCTCAACAGGAGCAGCTGCCCTGGATGTCCTATCTGAGTATCGTGGCCATTTTTGGCTTTGTGGCCTTCTTTGAAGTGGGCCCTGGCCCGATCCCATGGTTCATCGTGGCTGAACTCTTCAGCCAGGGTCCACGCCCAGCTGCATTTGCCGTCGCTGGCTTCTCCAATTGGACCTCAAATTTCATTGTGGGCATGTGCTTCCAGTACGTGGAGGTGAGAACCCCCATTGCTCAATCCTCATCATTTTATCACCTACATGTATGACCTCATGTGCAAAGTGCTCTCTCAATATTTTAATCAGAAATCATGCTGAGAAAGAAACTTGGGCTCAGAAGTCCAGGTTACCTGGCTGTGAACAATTCTAGGTTCTTTCCTTAGCATTGAATCATATTCATAGAGCCTGTCCCATGCCAGGTATAAGCAATGTCATTTAATTATTACAGCATTCCTGAGTGGTACATGGATATGTTTCCTTTATCAGATCAGAAACCTAGAGGTAAAGTGACTTATCCAAAGTCCTGCAGCCAGGAATATAGGGTCATGACCTCTAACATGTCTGTGTATCTTCCAGCAACTGTGTGGTCCCTACGTCTTCATCATCTTCACTGTGCTCCTGATTCTGTTCTTCATCTTCACCTACTTCAAAGTTCCCGAGACTAAAGGCCGGACCTTCGATGAGATTGCCTCTGGCTTCCGGCAGGGGGGAGCCAGCCAAAGTGACAAGACACCTGAGGAGCTGTTCCACCCTCTAGGGGCTGATTCCCAAGTGTGAGGTGCTCCACGCCCCCAGCCCGGCCTGTTCCCAACAGCCCCAAGAATCTCCCTGGAGCACAGATAACTGGACAGACTTCCAAACTGACAGATCTCAGTCAAGCCGGGTCTGGGGCTCCTTTCTTCAGCCAGCAATGATGTCCAGCAGAATATTCAGGACTTTAATGGCTCCAGGATTTTAACGAAAGCAAGACTGTTGCTTAAATCTATTCAGACAAGCAACAGGTTTTATAATTTTTTTTATTACTGATTTTGTTATTATTTTTTTATCAGCCAGAGTCTTTTGTCCCCACACCCCAGGCTTCACCCTGAGTGGTTCAGTGCCTGAGGGTAGGGGCCAAGCCCTGTCCAGACACTTGCCTTTTTCACCAAGCTAATCTGTAGGGCTGGACCTATGATCAAGGACACACTAATTGAACTATGAACTATGAGGCTTCAACCCCAGGAGGTGGTTGTGGCCACCTCTTTCTGCAGACCTGGATCTCTCCACCTTAGGGATCGGGCTCCATTTTGGGATTTGCCTATTCCCATCTCTTCCTACCCAACCACTCAAATTAATCTTTCCTTGCCTGGGACCAGTTGGGAGCACTGGAGTGCAGGGAGGAGAGGGGAAGGCCAAACTGGGCTGCCAGGTTCTAGTCTCCTCTGCACTGAGGGCCAGATGATGACCATGAAAGAAGGGCCATGGGAGGCCGAAAACTCACTGCTGAAGAAAACATGGACACTCCTGCCCTGCTGTGTATAGATGGAAGATATTTATATATTTTTTTGGTTGTCAATATTAAATACAGACACTAAGTTATAGTATATCTGGACAAACCAACTTGTAAATACACCAACACACTCCTTCTGTAACTTACCTAAACAGATATAAATGGCTGGTTTTTAGAAACATGGTTTTGAAATGCTTGTGGATTGAGGATAGGGATGTTTGGATGGGAATGAGAGAAACAAGCAAAGTTGCAACCACTGCAGTGGCTTGGGACTTTGGCTCAGGATCCCATCCCTTCCAAGCACCTCTGGGCAATGTGGCCTTTAATTGCTCAAAAATCTGTATGATCTCTTTTATTACCCAAAGAAAATACAATTTCTTTATCTTGGTATTCAAGGTATTCCCATCATATATTTGATAGCTGGAGTTCAAATAATAATAGCTCTGAGCCAACCATGATGCTCAGGCTTGATATGAATTATCTTAAATGTGAAGTAGGTGCCTGAATCTTCATGTGACGGGCTCACAGAAGTTATGTGCCTTAAGTCTAATAGCAAATATGTTTAAAACCCTTGCTTTTAACAATCACACTTCAGAACCCCTTCCCCATGCCCCACCTTCAAACAAAGTGGACTCTTTTTTTGTGTTAGCCCAGTGAATTATCAAGCTGTATTTCTTCTGGAATTGTCCCCTCTGGTTCCAGTTTGTATACTACTGCCTCCTCTGACTTCTGACCCTCCTCTTTCACCCCTGAATTTTAAGAGCATTCATCTGTTCCTTTCCTGTTGACACTGTGCCCTTCCACCCTTTATCACAAATCCAAGTTTCTTCCACCTGTCCTGGAAAGAAGCACTGACTAGGTTTCTCTGGGTCTGCAGAATTATTCAAAAGACACTCAAAATAGCTGAAATAAAACACAAAGGACATTTGTCTCTAGAGACTCGGTAACAAGATCTGAGGATAATTCTCCTTCATAAATGCACATGGGCAAAACTATAAACACTCTGGTGTGACCAGGTTTTAAGGAGGGGGTGAGAAGGAAAAACAGGTACTTGGTAAATGGAAGTGTCTGTATCACCATTAAGAAAATGTATGAGGACTTTCCATCCCCATCACACAAATGAGGAACAAGGCTGAGAAAGGGTGTGCCTTGCTAGAGCCTGGGGGAAGGTGGTTAACAGATAAAGAGGCTGGGGCTGGGGCCAGGTGACAGGAAGCTTTATCCTCTGTCCCCAAGCCCTTGTTAGAAGGACTGATCTAAACTTTATGTACAAGTGAGGCCCCCAGAGGGGCAGTGCAAGCGAGACAAGGAACCAGGCTACCAGGGTTCTTAATCCTTCCGCGCAACTCAACCGGCTGTTCCCGCCGGATCTAAAGGGATGTGGGGACCGGCGGGAGGAGGGCGGCAGGGAGTAAATACCGTAAAACAGTTGGCGTTAGGGGCTCGCCCGCTCCCCTCGCGTCCGTGGACCTCGAAGGTCAGTAGAATCAGGTCTTCCCAGTCCCAGGGATCCAGACCTGGGTGTGAAAAGATGCGAAAATCCCCTCCCCAGTTCCCTTCTGCAAGAGACCGCAATCAACACTCCAGAGCGCCGCGATTCCTCAAAGCGAGGCGACGCGCAGGCGCAGAGGGCCCAGCTAGCCCCCCGCGGCGGCCCAGAATGCTCCGGGAGGTGCCGCTTCCGCAACCCGACGCCCTCCCTCAGGGGACTGCAGACCTGCCCGGTGTGTGAACAAAAAAGTGGGGCCAGGGTCCACCTTCCCCAAACCCCGGGGCGTTGCTCGCTGCCGGACCTTCCGTGGCGCACCGAGTCCCTCAGCCTATTCCCGTCATTCGCCGAGGGGCGGGGCCAGGAGGAGTCTCCACCAATCGGAGTCGCGGTGGGGAGGTGAGCGGCGGGCTCGCGGGCGCGTCTGCTGCAGACTAGCCCAGCCTAAGCAGGGCTTCTGGAGGTGCGAGGTTTACTCTGGCAGGAAGGGACGTGGCTATTTAGCGCCGCACGTCCTGGGGAGTGGCGCTCACATGGATACCTGTCATGCATCAGGTGACTTCTAGAGGGTCAATAGGTAACGGAGCTGCTCCCTGATCCCCTTTCTTTCCCCACCGGTCCTTAGTTTCGTTTGATGTTTTAATCTGAGATCCTAGACTCCCAAGTGTCCTCTCCTCGGCGTCCTGTATCCCCTGCATCAAAGCCCTTTCCTCAAAGTATAGGATTTGTTTCCAACACAGAATCTGGTCGAGATTGTTGAATGAATGGACTAGAGATTTAAAAGAACTTTCATAATCTTAGTCCTTCCAGCGCTGTTTTAGGCAGAAAACCCAATTGAGAAGGTGTATTTACTAATAAAGAATATTTATCCTCTTTTATCAAAACTACATTCTAAATGACTTCTTTCTCGTTCTGTGATTTTTATTTCTTAAATCCCCTACAAATCTGACACCTATGTCTATTGACATACTGGCCATAGTGTGGACCATTCATCCTCTTTCTCAGGATCAGCCTCTACTCTTCTCTCTGCTTCCTCTTTCCCCTCGTTCTCCACATTACAGTTTTAGTGATCTTTCTAAAATGAAAATTAGTTATGTCTCTCTTCTACTTATACACCTTTCTACTTATACCCCATTATTTCTACTTATACCTCTTCTACTTATACCCCATTTCCCTCACGACGTCCAGCTTTCTGAATCTGGGAACTCAAGGCCACTCATAATCCATCTCTCACGACTGCCCCCTCTCCACTCCCATATCCTCCAACCATCAGCCATTCTAGCCTCTGACCTCCACATTCTCCATTCCCACTGGGTCTTTAAGATCCCCTCTGTACATGTTGCCCTCCCACTACTACTGTTTTCCACCAGGTGATCACACCTAGTCACGGCCCAAGGAATGATCCTCTGGAGAAATTACCAGTTGGGGACCTGGCTCATCCATTAATTGGCACACTGCTGCCAACTAGTGGTTCTTGGGTGAACTCTTAAATCAGGGCAGGATTTAACATCAACCTTTCAGGTGTCAGTGAGAATAGACTATGAGATTAGTGCAACAAATATATATTTTTTGGTACTCCATATATTTCCTTGGCACTCCCAGTGACTTTACCAAAGCAGTATTCTTTTTAAAAATATTTTTTAGTTGTTGATGTACCTTTTTTATTTATTTACATGTGGTGCTGAGGATCAAACCCAGTACCTCACACTAAGTAAGTGCTCTGCCCCTGAGCCACAACCCCAGCCCCATAAAGCAGTATTTTTATCATAATACTCTATTGCTTAATGTTCAACACTGTCTCATGATAAAGCCCAAATTCTTCAATTATATTCTGGCCCTTATAGACCTTGTCTCCCAATGTGCTCCTTCAACACCCTAAGCTCCAGCCAAGCAGATTATTTAGTATTTCCCAGACAGCTCTTCCCTCTAACTGTATTACCCTAAATCTTTATGCTCAAGTTCCTCTCTCCTTGTTTTCCTTTGTTCTGTCCATAGGTTGTCTGGTCTCAAGAGACCAAATTAAATATCATTTTCTCTTTGAAATATTATTTCCTTCAATTGTTACTTAACTGAGTACATACTTTTTGCCTGGCATTCAGTGTTACTTAGTGTCTTTGAAACAACATGACTTCTAGCGTCAAACAGCTGATTTCAGCTTCCTGCTGTGCTAGCTGAATAACTTTGGGCAAGTGACTTCACTTTTTCCATCTTCAGTTTCCTCATCTGTTGTGATATGAAGGTGAAATAAGCTATGTGTAATGCAGCTGGAGTTACCGTAATCCCCCTTCCTTGTGTTTCAGGAAGTCTAGTACTCACCACAACAGTTTCTATGAATTCCCAGGATTCTCTCCCATTTTTAAGGTCTCCTCCAGCTTTGATGGTTGGTATCCCCTAAAACCACCTTCTGCAGGGTTCCCAGTGCAAGCTGTTTCCTGTCATAAAACTGAAATATTTTCCTTAGTTTCATTTCATGTGTTTAAGCACTTACCTGGTGCCAGGGATGCAGCAGTAAGAAAAAAAATCATATTCATGGAACTTACATTCTGTTAATAAAGTATAATAAGGAGTCAAATGGTGATTTGTGTTACAGGGGTAAAAAGTCAATTTAGGAATAGAGAGGATGATGGATTGTGAGGGCCATGAGGGGGTTATGGGCCAGTTTTAGATGAAATCACTTGAAGACCCTCCCTAAGGGAGTGATATTTGGGCAAAGACCTGAAAGAAGTACAACATACATATATCTTAGGGCAAAACTTCTAGTAAGTTCACAGGTGCCGAGGCAGAACTTTGTTTGGGGTATTGGAGGAACAGCAAGGAGGCCAGGCACCTGGACCAGGGTGACGTGTAGATGAGGTGAGAGAGGCTCTATGTGAAGCCTCAGAGATCACATGAGAATTTTGTTTTTTATTTCAATGCCGAAGAGAAGTCACTGGAGAATATTGGTCAGAGTAGTGACACAATCTGATTTACATTTTTAAAGGTTCATCCAGATGCTATAAACTGTAAGGGAGCAAAAGCAGAAATGGGAATACTAGTCTCAAGCAGTTGCTGTTGTCCAGGTGACAGACAATGGTGGCTTGTCTCAGGTAACAGCAACAAGTAGATGTATGTGGTCAGGGTGAGGATGTATGTCAATGTTTCAGCCAACAGGATTTGCTGATGAGATCAACTATGAGGTTTGAGAAAAAAATAAATAATAGCTGGATTAACTGAATGAATGGTGGTGGGGCTAACTGGGAATAGGAGCCTTGAGGAAGTTAGAATCAAGAGTCAGGTTTTGGAAAAATACAAAAGGTTTTGGATATGTTGAGTTGAAGCCTATCAGATTTTCAAGTAAAGACATCAAGTAAGCCATTGAATATCCTAGTCTGAGACTCACAAAAACCTTTATGAAAAGTTTGAGGGAGAAATGATTCAAACCACAGCAACATAACCTAAAATTGATTTTTAGTCACCTCAGTCCCTTGGCCTCTTCCCCACCTCAGGCCTTGGCTGCAACCAGTTTGTCCCATTCCCTACCTAGTTATTAAAGGCCTTGGCTGATGCTTTGAAATGTAGCTGGTCAGGTAAGGACCTGTCCATTTAAATTCCTAAGCTGTCCTTTACCCAGTTTTTTTCCAGGAGCAAAGGAATTGCAATTCTCCCCTAACTAAAATTTGCAATCTCTTGCAAAAGTTATCCCACACATGTTTGCATTAAGCAGCAGGTGAGGCAAGAATCTAAGGGTATTTATTAAATGATAGTGGATTTATTTCCTTCTTGGATTTACTGTTTTTGTCCCATTCTTGTTCTAATAGACTGGCCTCCATGCCTCATAGAAAAAAGGCTTGATTTTTATTTAAGGCTCAAGAGGAGAGTGGTGGTGACCCTAACTTAAGATATCTTAGGTTTTATCTTCCTTCACTGTCTCAAAACAGATTCTTTATCTCTCTTTCTCCTAGAGTAGTTATCTTCAAACATTTTGCCCTCATACTCCCTACAAAGAATTTTGGGAAACTGTACCTCTGCACATTTTTAGGTTGATATTAAAATTTTTTCATCCGAAATTCAAACATTTACCAGGAATTTAATTTCTGGTACATGATATTGTCATTTTTAAAAAATATTTATTTATTTTTTAGTTATAGTTGGACACAATATTTTATTTTTATGTGGTGCTGAGGATTGAACTCAGGGCCTTGCACATGTTAGGCAAGCGCCCTGCCGCTGAGCCACAATCCCAGCCCCGATATTGTCATTTAAAAAAAAATCTGTTATACTGTTCTACATATATTCAAGAATATACCACAGTGATCCAGATCCACAGATATTAGATCTTCTACTTATTTTGTTATATTTACACCTAAGTATTTTACATTTCATGTGCTCATATAAACAATAATGAGTTGTAATTTCAACTTCCACTTGTTCATTGTTAGGGCTATGGTAAGATGTTGAATGTCCTGCAAAGACCCATGT